TGAAGAGTGTAAAGACCAGAGCCCGGCTCAGCGGTAAAGGTGGCCAGAGGCACGTACGTGTCCCCGTCGACACAAACTGTAGTCTCGCCAAAAGGCTCAATTCACACACCCACGTGACTACTCACGAGTGGCCTCACACCCACCAAGTTCCTGGAGAACAAAGGGACGTGGAAGCTCGTCAGGAAACCCAAGGGAACTGGTGGGCACGGAAGCATAGTAGTGTAGCGAGTAGTGACTGGTCCCGAAGTGGGATCAGCCAGTGCCACAGAGACCGGCGCAAGAAGCGGAGTAAGTGTTGTGTGGTCGCGGAAGAAACAGTGCGAAGCTCCGGAGTCCAAAGTGAAAGACAGCGAAGTGTCCTCCTGAGCAGCTCCTGGACTAGTGTCTACACAAGTACCTACGCTAGCAACAGGCACCTCAGCAACACTAGCACCTAAGCTAACAACACTCGAGTAAACAGAGTCAAGAGCACTAGAATCAACAACACCATACATAGCACGAGGAGTTCCTAAGAGATCAAGCAACTGAGAAGCCGACATGCCCCATAGAGCGCGGCCGTACGTCTGAACAAGGGGAAGCCAGTCAGGGGCAGGGACGTCAACGCCGTAGGCTGCACGAAGTGTGTAAGTGAGCTGAGCAAAGCACTGACACGGTGGGTGGGTGCGGCCACAGGGGAGGCCTCGGCGGGCACCTGTCTGAACGAGATAGGTGCAGTGAGGGTGGACGGCACCACGCGACAGCTGACGCGGTCCTGACCCCTGTCCCGGAGATTGCTGTTGCCTCTACTGCTGCTGTGGCTGCTGCGCGAGGAGGGGCTGCTGCTGTTGCTGCTGCTGCCGTTGAGTCAGGTACCAATCCGCCACTCCAGCACCAGCAGCTCGCGGACCAGCAGGTGCCTGACAAACCCAAGCGTCACCTCCACTAGCCGCTGCACGAGGCGCTCCTCCAGCCTCTGTACTCCCACCACCGCCACTCGCCACGTCACCTCTGCCGCCTCCGCCCGCACTCAGACCGCCCCTCCAGCCACTCCTACCTCTAGACCGCGAAAAAGTCGTAACAGCAGCTGCGGTCACGTCAGTAGCGGCAGTGGCGAGGGAGGCAGTAAAGGTGGGCAGCTGAGGGACAATGCACCCATGAAACAGTGGAGGGGGCACAGCACCAGAGGCGAAGGCTACCGAGCGGAGGTTGCTCTCGACGTCCTTGAGAGCCTACTCAAGGACCTCGATAGTGAGCTCGCTAGGGTGCTTCAGAATAAGTGCGTCACGAACTGAGGCAAGGCGGTCAAGGAGAATAGTGGCGATGAAATAGATAGTAATCGCCATAGGGGGAGGGAGCAGTGCAAGCTGCACGTCGTGCAGGCAACGCGGCGAGCGCAGGTGAGCGATCAAGTCAGCAGATCGCTCAAACGAGGCGAGGTCAAAAAACAGGAACGGGAGGAAAAGCCGACCAATAGAGACAGTGGTAGGAGTAGCGTAGCGGGCCTTGATCACTATCAGGAACTTACTAGCAGTAGGAGCCTGAGTGAAGTGGGCCTCCTCAGACTCAGGGAGGAGGCTGCTAAGGGCGATGCAAGCCGCAGCATCACGCGAATTCGACGCTGTCAAGTCAGCACGCTGACGTGCATAACGGTCTTTGTCTGTAGTGCTAGCGTCCGCGCCTAAGGGTGCAGGGGCAGGGGGCGCAGGTTGGTCACCCGAAGCGTGCGCCCACAGAGACTCGTCTGCCTAAACCTGACTCTCTAGTAGGCGGCGCACACGCAGGAGCCAGACCGATAAATCGAGTGACATACCCTTGGCGACAAAGCGCAGGACCCTAGGGGTCGCCATAGAGGAAGCGAAGAGGTGGGAACTGCTCCTGCCGAAACCCTAAACGCCTAAAGGGCCTAAGTAGGGCGTGACAGGCAGTGGGTGAGGCTCAAGTCACTGTAGGACGCTAGGGTAGGGCGCGACGAGGCGCTACACGGCAGGCAGGACGGGACGCACACGGCTCGGCGCCGCACGGCAGGCAGAACGGGACGGGCGCTGCAGGACGAGCAGGCACGGCGCACACGACGGGGCAGACAGGACGGGCGAGACGAGCTAGACGGGACGGGCGCGACGAGCTAGACGAGACGGGACAGACGCGATGCGACGGACGGGGCAGACGCGACGCGACGGGACGACGGGACGCGACGAGCGCGACGCGACGGGATGGGACGGGACGACTGGACGGGACGGCGGGACGGGACGCGACGCGACGGGACGGGCGCTACGAGCACTTCGGGCGGTTCGGGCGCTATGAGCGCTTCGGGCGCTGCGGGCGCTACGGGCGCTAGGGAACAAGATGAACCGGCGTGACAGGCGCTAGGGGACGATACGGGCGCAGCTGGCATTAGGGTACGAGACGAACCGGCGTGACAGGCGCTAGGAGACGGTACGGGAGGGACGGGATCTTACAGGATCCTAACCTAGGTGATACCATGTCAGAATCAGAATGATGGTTTGACTAAGGTTGGGGTACATAAACCTAACCGTAACAGTTGTACCCCCAAAAACACATCACTAAGGTTACATTCCTGTGGGGACACTTGTGTCTCAATCCCCGTTTTCCCGAGTCGCGCCTGTTAATTTACCCAATGTTGCGTCACAAACATCGGATGCTACCGCGACGTAGGGCGACAGATTGGCAGGTTCAACTGGACACTTTTCATTGGCTGCGATCAAAGAGAAATGTACAGTTGTGTGCATTGGATTGGGTGACAACACTACACCCGTTTTTTCAACCTCCGAGCAGGGGCGTGGTTTCGATGCGCGGAATCTTTTTCCCTCGCAAAATTGGCATTTTCGGGTGTCCAGGTGCATGTGGTCGTGTCGGACATTTCGAGTCGCGTGCGATTCTTTAACAATGACGGGTCGTTTTGCAATTCGTCAGCGACGTCAGCGCGTTTCACGCTGGCCAATAAAAAATACAGTACAAGTCGCTGAAAGGCGACTCGCATTTGGGACACAACACAGTTTATGTTGTTTTTGGGTGTCACAATGTGATTGAGACACAAGTGTCCCTACAGGAATGTACCGTAAGACTACAACATTTGACATATACCCCCACCCCCCACCTTTTGGGGTGATTTTCTATAACACCCATCTTTTCATATAGATTTTTTATTGTAATAGTGGATAACAAGTAGGTTCAACTATGGGAGAACGCGAAAATTCCTCAAGTATGAGTACGTGCTAACGAATCCTTCGATGTCAAGTGGCCAGAGAAGTACCGCCACACACCATCTTCAAGGTGGTCAAGATGTCACTTGCCTAAACTCGTGTTCTCAAAATCCTTATATTAAAGTGAACCAACTTTGAAAACACCCAAGCCCTCCATTTATCAAAATCCTTATATTAAAAAATATCATATTAGACCCGGGTAGTACGGTATGTAGCTTTTTCCGATGAGAAGACCCCCCCCCCCCATTTTTTTCCTGAATTTATCATGACACCCTAGGGTGTTTTTTCCGGGAGAATAGGGTATCATCCCATGAAGGTAAGCTATTTGAGTGGTCCAGTACCAGGCAAGTAATCACTGCTCACTGACACTCCAGGAAGAGCTGCCTTTAACCACGCCTGGAGACTCTTCTTATCTGTTCTGATGTGCGTCAGAGAAGGCATGCCCTTCACCCACTTCACCCCATCTTCAGCCACTGCAGATTCCATCATGCCCAACTTCTGCAAGGCAGACAAGTACCTCACATGCTCCATGCCAGTATCCCGAACCCCAAGTGGCAGTGAGAGCAAGTTCAGATTTGTGAGGGATGACAAGTGCTGCAGACCATCGTCTTTCACCCCTGAACCCCACAGAAACAGCTTCTCAAGATCTGCCAGCCCCCCCACATGCACCATGCCAGCAGATGTTACTGCTTCGCAGCTATTGAGCTCCAAAGTCTTGAGTGAAAGCTCTGCCAACTGCTGCACACCAACGTCTGTCACTTTGGTGCTGGTGAGACAGAGCGTCCCAAGGCTGCTCAGTGCCCCAATGCCCTCCAGATGACTGTCAGAAACGGCTATCCTATTAAGCGAGAGCCACTTCAAGTGTGGCAGCTTGTAGAGGTGCTTTACGCCCTCTGCAGTGAAGCCAGAAGACTTGTCTAAGTAAACGGATGTAAGGTGAGTCATGACAGACACAGCATGAAGGGCATTGTCTGAGGTGCCGGAGAGGTACTTCAGCTCCATGGAAGTACGTCCTTCACCACTGAGTGCTGATGAAACGGACTTGGGGGGGGGGGGGGGAAGGGGGAGGGGCGACGGGGTCACAGAAATGGCAAGCATGATCGAGTATAAAAAATGGGACATAGTTGCGAATGCGCTTGCACAACCGAGCGTAATGCGTACTCACGCAATACACATTTGACTGGGAATGCGCAATGCAACAACAACCAACACACAACCCCAGGCATCAATTCGCAAAGCTCTGTGTCGCCTAGCACGCATAAGTACCTTGCCGATAGCACTCACCACATTTTCAAGCATTACAAGTTGCGCTGTAAGCAAGTCCTTGTGTTGACCCAACTCCCCCTTGGCTGTTGTAAGCTGCTCTGCCTGCCCTGTAAGCAAGTCCTTGTGTTGAGCCACCTCCCTCTTGGCTGCTGTCAGCTGCTCTGCCTGCCCTGTAAGCAAGTCCTTGTGTTGAGCCACCTCCCTCTTGGCTCTTGTCAGCTGCTCTGTCTACCCTGTAAGCAATTCCTTGTGTTGAGCCACCTCCCTCTTGGCTGTTGTCAGCTTCTCTGCCTGCCCTGTAAGCAAGTCCTTGTGTTGAGCCACCTCCCTCTTGGCTGCTGTCAGCTGCTCTGCCTGCCTTGTAAGCAAGTCCTTGTGTTGAGTCACCTCCCTCTTGGCTGCTGTCAGCTGCTCTGCCTACCCTGTAAGCAAGTCCTTGTGTTGAGACACCTCCTTCTTGGCTCCTGTCAGCTGCTCTGTCTACCCTGTAGGCAAGTCCTTGTGTTGAGCCACCTCCCTCTTGGCTGCTGTCAGCTACTCTGCCTGCCCTGTAAGCAAGTCCTTGTGTTGAGCCACCTCCCTCTTGGTTGCTGTCAGCTGCTCTGCCTGCCCTGTAAGCAAGTCCTTGTGTTGAGCCACCTCCCTCTTGGCTGCTGTCAGCTGCTCTGCCTGCCCTGTAAGCAAGTGCTTGTGTTGAGCCACCTCCCTCTTGGCTGCTGTCAGCTGCTCTGCCTGCCCTGTAAGCAAGTCCTTGTGTTGAGCCACCTCCCTCTTGGCTCCTGTCAGCTGCTCTGTCTACCCTGTAAGCAAGTCCTTGTGTTGAGCCACCTCCCTCTTGGCTGCTGTCAATTGCTCTGCTTGCCTTGTAAGCAAGTCCTTGTGTTGAGCCACCTCCCTCTTGGCTGCTGACAGCTGCTCTGCCTGCCCTGTAAGCAAGTCCTTGTGTTGAGCCACCTCCCTCTTGGCTCTTGTCAGCTGCTCTGTCTACCCTATAAGCAATTCCTTGTGTTCAGCCACCTCCCTCTTGGCTGCTGTCAGCTGCTCTGCCTGCCCTGTAAGCAAGTCCTTGTGTTGAGCCACCTCCCTCTTGGCTCCTGTCAGCTGCTCTGTCTACCCTGTAAGCAAGTCCTTGTGTTGAGCCACCTCCCTCTTGGCTGCTGTCAACTGCTCTGCTTGCCTTGTAAGCAAGTCCTTGTGTTGAGCCACCTCCCTCTTGGCTGCTGACAGCTGCTCTGCCTGCCCTGTAAGCAAGTCCTTGTGTTGAGCCACCTCCCTCTTGGCTGCTGTCAGCTGCTCTGCCTGCCTTGTAAGCAAGTCCTTGTGTTGAGTCACCTCCCTCTTGGCTGCTGTCAGCTGCTCTGCCTGCCCTGTAAGCAAGTCCTTGTGTTGAGCCACCTCCCTCTTGGCTCCTGTCAGCTGCTCTGTCTACCCTGTAAGCAAGTCCTTGTGTTGAGCCACCTCCCTCTTGGCTGCTGTCAGCTGCTCTGTCTACCCTGTAAGCAAGTCCTTGTGTTGAGCCACCTCCCTCTTGGTTGCTGTCAGCTGCTCTGCCTGCCCTGTAAGCAAGTCCTTGTGTTGAGCCACCTCCCTCTTGGCTGCTGTCAGCTGCTCTGCCTGCCCTGTAAGCAAGTGCTTGTGTTGAGCCACCTCCCTCTTGGCTGCTGTCAGCTGCTCTGCCTGCCCTGTAAGCAAGACCTTGTGTTGAGCCACCTCCCTCTTGGCTCCTGTCAGCTGCTCTGTCTACCCTGTAAGCAAGTCCTTGTGTTGAGCCACCTCCCTCTTGGCTGCTGTCAACTGCTCTGCTTGCCTTGTAAGCAAGTCCTTGTGTTGAGCCACCTCCCTCTTGGCTGCTGACAGCTGCTCTGCCTGCCCTGTAAGCAAGTCCTTGTGTTGAGCCACCTCCCTCTTGGCTGCTGTCAGCTGCTCTGCCTGCCCTGTAAGCAAGTCCTTGTGTTGAGCCACCTCCCTCTTGGCTGCTGTCAGCTGCTCTGCCTGCCCTGTAAGCAAGTCCTTGTGTTGAGCCACCTCCCTCTTGGCTGCTGTCAGCTGCTCTGCCTGCCCTGTAAGCAAGTGCTTGTATTGAGCCACCTCCCTCTTGGCTGCTGTCAGCTGCTCTGCCTGCCCTGTAAGCAAGTCCTTATGTTGAGCCACCTCCCTCTTGGCTGCTGCGAGCTGCTCTGCTTGCCCTGTAATCAAGGTATTGTGTTCTTCCAACTCCCCCTTGGCTGCTGCCAACTGCTCTGCAGTCAATGTCTTGTGTTAGGCCAACTCCCCTTTCGCTGCTGCCAGCTCCCTCCTTGACTCCTCCACTTGCAAGCCAAGCTCTATAAATCTCACTTCCATCGCCCCTTTCAGCTCATCCACTCCCAGTATCCGCCCCAAAGGAATTCCACCACATTCACGCACGCCCCGCAATAAGGACCTGCCGTGGTCAATGTACACATGAGTAACAGGAGAGAGAGAGAATTTACAGGACAGTACGCTCAATACATGAAGCTAAAACGAAATAGCTTAACTATATTACCATGATCCATCCCAAAACACAAAGGGAATGCTTTCTACGTCAACAGAAAACAGGATGAGAGTCATAAAGTACAAAAACAGATGGCTGTAAAAATAATGGAAGCATAGTGTAAAACAGATAGCATGTGCATTCCTAATGGCGTGAGAGGGAGTTGAAGTGTACGTGCAGGGCACGGATGCAGCAAGAGAGCCATCAACGTTTAGAAATATCAGAAAGAGAAATGTTCCATAAAAGCTTCAAAGGAAAGGAATAAAGGAATATGGCAAAACTCTCTCACCTTTCGCTGTGAACAATTCGATGAGCCTGTGCCATAGCCAGGGGGGGTATGACGAGGGAGCAGCAGCGAGGAAGAGATGGAAAGATAAATGATGAAATAAGTGTGGGAGAGAGGCGGATACGAGAGAGGAGAGGAAAACCGAGCAGCTGAACTCAAAGCTTGTGGAAGTGGAGAGGAAGGAATGGACCTAAGAAGTACACGATTTACACAAGCAGACAAGAATTAAGCATACCACTGAATTCCTCAACTTCCGCAGCATGGCCATCGCAACAATCGTGTGCTCATCAACCCACGTCTTGACTAGCTCATAAGAAACACCCATCCTCCACAGAAGTGTAACCAGAGCAGTTAACACGATGTATGCAGCAAAGACCTGCAGCATAGGAATTGGACAGAGGAACGGAAAGGATGGGTGCGGAAAGCCGTACTGTGGAAGCACGCTCACATTCCCAGCAAGCTTTAGAAGAAGAAACAAACAAACAAACAAACCCTCCGTGTCTACAGGGTAAGCGGACCTCGAATTTCTGTGTGCTTACTAAAGAGTGAAGGAAGTGATAGGGTGCGGTGAGCTGTTGGGCGACAGAGACGATTTCAGGGCTTTGAAGAAGAGGCAAGCAGCTAGTGGCATTCACCTGAGAGACCACACAACACACGGACGCATGCACAATGCAGCACACACATATTTTGCAGTCAAAACATATTTATGTATTCATGGGAACAAAAAACAAGTGCTCAAAACAGAATTTTCCAGCATCACGGGTAAATTGGCTCAGCAGCACCTTGAAGTACCAGATAGACATATATGGGGGTGCAAGAGATTAATCAGTAGTAGTCCAAAAGCGGGCAGCGACATACAAGAAGAGTAAGAAAAAACGTAGCAGATGCACAAGAAAAAGGGTCAATCCGCATGGGTTAGCTGGCCATCAAATAGAAGGGATAAGGAGTGTGAGAGCAAGGACCATAAGTAATACTTACATGAACGGCAGGAGGCGAGATGGGAAGTGACTCGTTTCCTTGCAAGCCTGCAGTGACACGTGGAAGCTGCAAGGCCCAACATGGAGAGCACAGATGCATGCGGTGTGCAGCGCAATCAATCAGGCACCAGCTGAGACACACAGCATGTAAAACGCTCAATTGCTTTGCTTCATGGGGTAACAGGACTATCACCAGCCCAACGCTTGACTCACAGGCTCGAGGCTCCTGTTGCTGGAGGAGGCATCACTCGCGAGTGGCACACTCACAAATCGCACCACAGAGGCCACAACTAGGGCGAGCAGCAACCCTGCCAGCACCACGGCCCCTTCTACCATCCGCACCATGGTGGGCATCAGGCGTATGGCACTGGCAGCAGAACAGAGAAGAGAGGTGTGTAGCGAAGGTGCGACCGCGCAGGAGAACGTGGGCAACTGCTGTGGCACAGAAAGAGAAAACTAACAAAATGAAAAGGCAGAATAGCGTCGAAGGGCGAAAGAGATGCGGAAACGGCTAGAGAGGAGAGGTTGCTTGGTGTGTGCGATACGCAGCACAACGGGACGGTTATGCACCACGGATGATGCGAGAGTGTCGTCGGCAGTACACAGCAGGCATGCGAGCCACTTGGCAAAATGAATCGCATGGTGGTACTGCTGGCCGTTCACATGCGAGCTCGAGCGCGTCGCATTCCAGTCACACGGCGCCATGGGAGAGAAAACACATCGAGTCGCTCGGGGCGCTGAGCATGCGTGTTCACATGTGGACTCGAACAAGTAACCTCCAACCGACACACGGCAGTCTATTCCGATGTTTACCCAACGCGGTTTGAGGCGATCATGATGCATCGCTGCTTCGTTCTTCTTCTTATGGCGGTAATCACCATCTGTTCACATTTCCATGTCCGCCTTTGCTTTTCTTGGACCATGAACGAATGAGTAGCCAGCGCGTTTCCGCCTCGCAGCAAACTAGCACGAATGTCATTCACATCGCGCCGTCATCTGCCTGCCTATTCTCAGCGTTCTCCTTCGCTCGTGATCACCGCACCTGCCTCGCACAGATGAACGACAACAGCGCGCCACACCCCGCTCTTGCCGAGGCACATCATCGCCGCGCCGAGCACACATGAGGCAGCCGAGGGTGAACGCATGCTGCATGGGCGATGCGATTTGCGCGGACCCCATCATCTCCCTCGACTCTCGCCGTGTTCTAATCCACCTCGTACATGTGATGTCACTACGACTGATTGCTGATCTCGCATGATGACAACTTTTAGGGCAAATGAGTCGACAAGAGCGAGACAGGATCCAGAAAGGTATTGAACGTGCAGGACAGGCCCGGACGGAACGAAGTGGAACTAGTACGTGGCGCTAATCAGCTTCTTTCTAGGCTCAGACAAATCGGCCTGATTGAAGCTCAGGGTATTTCGTTTAGAGGCGGCTTAGGCAGATGCTGTACGTTCTAGAACGATATTAACATGTAATGCGATGGGTAGGGTAATGTGCGAAAATGAGCCCAACCGACCAAACCGCTTCAATTTGCCAAGCTTCGTGCTCAACCGTTCGCTACCGAACAAGAACACACCAGTGAAGTTGCTACTCGCGACGCGATACACCCATTTTGCTCGCTTCCATTGGAGCTCCATTGTTCTCGCCCATCAAACTCCACCCGCACCACCGAGGTTGACGTTGCTTTGAGCGGTGCGTCCCGGCTGCTATATACTTCCTCCCGGTTCTTTCTTGTTATCTTCGGGCAAATCTCGTTACCCCGAGTTTGATCTCATTCGATTCCCTCGCGTTCTGCGAACCATGCTTCGGTCGTCACGGCGAATGCCACCTCAAGCTGACCGCCATGGCTTGGGATGCATGCCCCGTCGAAACGCAATGACGCTTGAGCACGAGCAGAAATGGTGGCAGGCACGCGTTCATTCAACTCATACGAGGAATGGCAGAGCCGAATGTTCCCATGGTCTGTCAATGCGAATTATGGTTCGCACATCCTTGCCTGCTCTGTGCGCTGCCTCTGCCTCACGCCGCTATCGCAAAAAATTTTGTGCACACAAAAGTGTGCACGGTAGCTTTTCTTGAGAAAAAGTTGCGGAAAAACAACTACGAGCTACAGAAAAGCTCTGAGAGTCAATGTTGCGTACATGTCACCACTCTGCCGCAACTGTAAAGCTACCACAATGTCACTTCCGCCCCTTCGTGTCTTCGTACATTCGCAACCAACAAACTTGTGCTTTTGCCCCTACCATCCCATGAAGATGCCATCCTCCTCATCCCTCTGCCCCACTCTAGTTCAACCTTTCTCCCCTTCTCCCTCTGCTTGCATGCCTGCCTGTGTTCTGCTATTTTACTTCGCCGTAGATGTCCTTTTGCTCGGCTAGTACGGCATCCCTGTTCTGAGGCGTCTACACTACAATCTTAGCTCATTTCGGCCCATCTTCCTACCGCATCTGCCCCCCCCTTCCCCCCCCCCCCTCCTCCCTCCCCGCATCTTCTTACATCAGCGCTCCTTCCTCTTCTCCCACAATCATCTCGCAGCTTTGGCTGCAATATATAGTGCCGCTTTGCCTTCCTTGGCTGCACACTGCAGCGCAGTTTGAGAATCGTTCACAGACTGGTAAGAACCTCTGGTTTCCACCAATGCAATATGCAACACACTTTACTCCCTTTCCCTACCTTACCCTTCCAGACTCTTCACCACACTCTCTGTCCCGTTGTCCTTCTCGCACAGAGCGCAAGTGTGTGCTTGCAGCAACAACCAACTCGATTCTCCTCCATGCCCCTCACCCAGCGACCAACACAGCCAAAAACTCACACCCTTCATGTTTCCTTTCCTATCTCCTTCCCCCATTCACTCCCCACGTCTCCCCAGCTATTATTGGCAAGCAGCAGGGTGGACGCGATTGGATAGCATTGGCATGTTGTTGAGGGCCATGCAATGGGCTGAGAGGAGCTTCTTTCTCAGCCCGATCACTCATGGCAAGTAGCATGTGTGTCCAGATGCGGCATCAGGGAGTGGATTGGGTTTGCGGTAAGGCTAAGTGAATTTGGGGGTGGGGGTTCAGGAAGTGGATTGGGGGAAGGGGCATGGGTGGTGTACTCGTCGGGGGGAATGGCATACATCAATGAGTTGAGGAAATTAAAGGTCAAGTGGGAAGATGTTATGGCGTAAAGGTTATGGCGGGAGCGAATGCTGTTGGGGAAACTATAGGATGAATCAGCAGGTGAACGGGTAAAGTGGGTTGAAGGGGTTGAGGTGTTTGAGATGCTAAACGAGTTGCAAGGAGGTCTGATGGTTCAGTGGTTGGTGTACAGGGAGGTGACAAGGTGCATTGCTCATGCCGCTGCCGCTCACTATTCACAGGGTGCATGTGTGCTTGTTGGATGGAAGTGATAGAAGTGTAGGAAATAGAACAGAGGTGGCTTTGATGGAGAAGGGATGACACAGGGGCGGCAACGGATGGCAGGATGAATGAATGTAGTAGCAAGAGAATTTCTGGATGGGTGATAACAGACAGGTTGTGGAATGTTTGTTTGGTTGGGAGAAGTATTAAAAGGCATTTGCTTCGATTCAGAGGGACAGTGAAGCCCTCTAGTGGCAATCCCACCAGTTACTTATGGTGTGGCCTTTTCACATGAATTTGTTTTACCTGATACCTTCCCTGCCAACCCCCATGCATAAGGACTTGCCACCGTACTACCACCTCTTTGACAATGCCACCTTATGCAAGGCCCATGCCAATTTGCATATTTCGCATGCATGTTGCACTCTCAAATTAAATCGTATTCATATTGTTGCCGCATATTTCTTCTCCCACTTTCCTGCCATCATTTGCTCCCGTGTCTGGCTTGGCTCCTTGCAGTACAGCGGGTAAAGCTTTGTTTGTGTCAAGTGTTTGCTGCACTGTACGGGCCAACTTGTGTCAGTGTTCAATTCGTATTATCGATAACACTTTTGCACAAATGAACCAGGCATCAAATACTCGAATTGTTTCTACTACCGGTACTTGCTAGAATGTCATTAATACTAACAGTACAACCAGGCTGCCACACGTTAGAAC